TATTATTTCTCTTTCTGCCCAACTCCTTCTTTCACTTTCTGTCTCGCAGCTTAGGCTAGAAGGCAGAGGAGGCTGGGCCCTGGCATTCGCTGAGGTCGGAGCTGCGGCTGGGCCAGCTGTGCCGGGAGGGGACAGGGGACGGGGTCCAGGGGGTGACAGGGGACGGGGTCCGGGGGGTGGGTGGGGGGATAGGAGAGGCCCCGGAAACCGGGTGGCCCCCATGTCATGGTGCCTGGCACGCGGCCCTGTCCTCTGGCCCTGTCAAAAGTGCATGTTTGCTACTCAGGAGGCCGACACATTAACCCAGTAACACCAGCGCATCGTACACTTTCCTGTCCCATAAAGAACTGGAGGTGCACAGTCCAAGCATTTTTTTTAATTAAAAAAATAATTTTATTAGTTTTAGAGAGGAAGGGAGAGGGAGAGAGAGAGAGATAGAGACATCAGTGATAGAGAATCATTGATCAGCTGCCTTCTGCACCCCCTCCCCACTGGGGATCGAGCACTCAACCCGGGCATGTGCCCTGACCGGGAATCAAGCTGTGTCCTCCTGGTTCATAGGTTGATGCTCAACCACTGAGCCACGCCAGCTGGGCCTGAGCATTTTGTGTTTTAGTTAATCCTCACCTGAGGATATTTTTTTCCATGAATTTTTTTTCGAGAGAGTTGGGTGGGGGAGAGAGAAAAACATTGATGTGAGATGGACACATCGATTGGTTGCCTCCTGACCGCACCTGACTGGGGTGGGGGATCAAACTTGCAACCCAGGTATGTGCCTTTGACTGGGAATCGAACCCGTGACCCTTCAGTCCTCCGGCCAATGCTCTGACCACTGAGGGCAAGTCCTGAGCATTTTAAAAGCAAGACTTTAAGGAACAGACAGCTGGGTTCCCTCACCTTCCTGACTCCACCCCAGGCGCGTTCCCCGCCGGCAGCTCATTCCGTGTGTAGCTGGAGAAATACACTGCGTGGGGCTTCCTCCCCTCCCTCATCACCACCCCAAAGCCCCTCACGCTCCCTGGGTTCACCCCCAAATCCCGTCCTGGGGTCTGCATCTGGGGGAGCCCCATCCAAGATGCTAACCCTGGTGAGCACTTACTGCATGCGAGGCCTGTCTCATTTCTGCCTCCGCCCCGTGGGGTGGGATGCAATTATTAGGCTCCATCTTCGGGATCAGGTCAGACTTGCTCAAGGTCACCCACCATTGGAGCCAAGACTCAAACCAGGCTGGTCATCTCACTGTATTTCCTTGGGATG